TCATCCGGAAAGGTAACAATTTTGAGGTGGTGGCTCTCGCAAGATCGTCACACCACTCGCTTAGAGTGGGGCAGAGATGCTCGGTCTCTAATCTAGAACTGCTGTTCACGGAGAAAATTACCAACCCATCCTAATAATGCATGGCCTACGTTTTCCAAGTGGCCCATCATTACGTCAGCGTTGACCGCTTCCATGACCTTGGAAAGGGACAGGGAGAAGGGTTACCGGACGATAATTGGTAGGATCAGACAGACGTCTCTGAACGAATTCGGCAAGTGGCTGGGCTAGGTGAACGACTGCTGCCTGCAGTGCTTCAGGCTGAAGGTTATCCAAGGATGGTAGCTTTTTCAGGACCACTTTTACCATGGATTTAATGCCAGATAACACTGATGGTGTTGGGACGGAAGCAAGTATAAAGTTGGCGGCTAGAACTCCGTGGAAAGTAGACCAGTACTGAGCAATTATGAGTTGTCCGCATTCTTGTTATGTGTGTATATCCACCAATCGTGCTGAATGGTTCGATTCCACGCTGCAGCTTTCGAACTGCATTCACGTGTCCGTAAATAAGGCTGTGGTTCGAACGGGATTGTTACGCTAGCGCCAGTCGGTGTGATAACTCGTTTTCGCGAACCAACTGTACATATTACTTGCCTGGAGCTACGTGTGCTGTTTCATTCTCCGCGTCGGGATTGTTTATGTGAAGGCGCCATGTGTTCTCCAAGGCCATAACTCTTCATATTTGGTTTCTCATTAATAGTGTTTGTTTCATATGTTTGTGGAAGATTTATGCTCTGATGCGTCGGTGACTAGTGATATTTTTTTCAACCAATTATCCTAGACAATCTCTCGTGTGCACTCAGTCATGTTTGTCCAACTGGCATACTAAAAACCAAACGAAAAGCCGCGATCACAGAATTGTAAGATTTCATTTCATTCGCTACGACGAACACCACGATGCAGAGCCGGAAACACTGCAATGCATTTCGCATTATCTGGTTCTGTCCGCATTCGGAACAACTACCTTCCGCCATCACAGGAAACCAACATAATAGAGTGAAGCCAAACCTGAAGAGTTATGGTCTTGGGGAACACATGTCGCCTTCACATAAACAATCCCGACGCGGAGAATGAAACAGCACACGTAGCTCCAGGCAAGTAATATGTACAGTTGGTTCGCGAAAACGAGTTATCACACCGACTGGCGCTAGCGTAACAATTCCGTTCGAACCACAGCCTTATTTAAAGACACGTGAATGCAGTTCGAAAGCTGCAGCGTGGAATCCAACCATTCAGCACGATTGGTGGATATACACATATAACAAGAATGCGGACAACTCTTCATTGCCTAGTACTGGTCTACTTTCCACGGAGTACTAGCCGCAAACTTTATACTTGCTTCTGTCCCAACACCATCAGTGTTATCCGGCATAAAATCCATGGTAAAAGTGGTCCTGAAAAAGCTACCATCCTTGGATAACCTTCACCCTAAAGCACTGCAGGCAGCAGTCGTTCACCTAGCCCAGCCACTTGCCGAATTCGTTCAGAGATGTCTGTCTGATCCTACCAATTATCGTCCGGTAACCCTTCTCCCTGTCCTTTCCAAGGTCATGGAAGCGGTCAACGCTGACGTAATGATGGGCCACTTGGAAAACGTAGGCCATGCATTATTAGGATGGGTTGGTAATTTTCTCCGTGAACAGCAGTTCTAGATTAGAGACCGAGCATCTCTGCCCCACTCTAAGCGAGTGGTGTGACGATCTTGCGAGAGCCACCACCTCAAAATTGTTACCTTTCCGGATGACGTTAAAAGTTGGCCGGGGTTCAAGAGAATGGACGACAACAAGAGCCTACATGTGCGACCTAGATGGGACCTGGCATTGACCGATGAGGAATACACTGCCTTTAAATGTGGTGGTGAATAATTATCCACATCCGCCTTAGACACGCTCATCACTAGAATATTGGGGCAAATTACCTGCAGACAAGCCCTCAGGAACTTGACCTCTGTGTGCTGGTGCAGGATGACTTTGGTTATTCCAGACAGTCGGAATCCAAAAGTGGCAACCGGCACGTTGCTAACTTGCGGATGACGTTCAAAAGTTTGAAGTCATTCATCTGCTCTAGGATGCTCCATGCCCCGTGCGGTAACACGTCGAATACATAATTCAGGCTTGGTACGCATGGCTAAGCCGTGACTTTGCGACGGTTGAACCTCACCATGGCCGAGCAGCGACTAAAGCAATCGGAGTGTTCAGTAGACGCCACAGGTGGCTACGTGGAGACCTCATATTAGTCTACCAGATACGAAACGACCCCAAGTACACATGTTGCCATCTACTACAACTTATCCCCAACACCAACTCCACAGACAATAGCCTGAAACTGAGTCAACAACGCAGTCGGCCTTTCAGTAAGGCCAAACGAACCTCAGCTCACATCGACTCAGTGATTCCGCCATAACTAGCCATCGAACGTTTCGGCGCCTACACTGTTTATGTGCTCAAGCACAGCTTGGACGTTATGGATTCTATCCGCCCGGACGCATCACTGGCACCATTTGTCAGCGGACCAGGTGAGTTGTTAATACGTTTGTGCAAGTGGATACGTATATTAACAGCAGTGTATTGGAACCATCATCTATGCTAGTGAAGGAGTTGTTCAAACTGCCCGGCGGCTTTTTGCTTGCAGTGCAGAAACCGCTTGATGAAATTGGCGAACACCTTCTCCAAGGTACCACTCATGATCGCGCGACATTCTTTTACAATATTTTTTTCAACTGGTCCAATGTACGCGGCCTTGTTTTGTACACTCGCCGTTTCAGATAGCCCCATAGCAAAAGGTCCATGGGGTTCAAATCTGGTGGGCGAGCAGGCCACTCCATTGGTCCACCGCGTACGATCCAATGGTGGCCAAATTTGTCGGTGGGATAAGCACGCATCGTTTTAGCAGAATGTGCAGGTACGCCATCCTGCTGCCACCAACTGGTACTGCATGCCCCTTTGGCCTCCAACTGGAGAAGTACAAATGGCTGCAGCATTTCCAAGTACGACGACGCTAGGAAGATAATTATTTGATGCTTTAATTCAACCTACTGTTCACATTCCCTGAAAGATCTATAGGCCCAATCTTTTCTGGCTTTTTAATCCAGCCCAAAGCATTGGTTTCACGCTGTGGTGCATACGGGCTGCGGTAAACTTTCGTGGGTTGCTGGTCGCCCAACCTTAATCTTTCAATGTTTCACCTAGATGAAACATTGCTTTGTAACTAAGGGTAAGAGTACGATTGTGCCCGTTACGTATGTAACCCTTACCTGTGTGGACAGAATTATTTATGTTTACATGTTGGTTTGGTCCTCTCTGCCCACGTGAATGGTTTTCTATTACTTGGTCACGTCGCTTAAGCTAATTTTACTTATGTTCGGTGAAATTTTGCGTTTGTAACATTTTTAAGTATGTTGTGGACATCTTTCTTTTATCGCGGAGGCGTTGCTAACCCACTTAATTCAAATGCTAATTAAGTGAATATTTATGCCACCGTATCTGTATGCATTATTGGATTTGTTTTATTTCATCTTGTCTTTTAAGGTGATTGCCTGTTGCTGGTATCCCCGGTGTGGCTGCGCTTGATGTGCGTTGACAAGGGGCTTACCTGTCTATTACCCATTGCCTCGTCCATACTGGCACCAGGAGACGGTTGGTCGTTGCTGGAGGGGACGTGGTGCATGGGCCTTGTGGCCGTGCCAGGCTCGAAGAACGCCTCCATGCACTCGGTGTGGAGCGGACCACGGTCCAGCCACCGCCTTGTGTGCGGTTGATTCCCCAAATACAGGGTGCTTATGTTTGCCTGTGACGGAGTGTGGGCCGGCTCCGTTGATGAAATGTGGCTCCAATCCACATGCCTCTCGGTCTTATTCCTTTGGGTTTACACTGGATATGAGGGTGTTGTTGGAGCTGTGGGTGGTGCAGAGCTACCCACCCATGGTTCCTCAGTATGCGCAGGCGTTCTGTGGCTGGCCACAGTGACAGGCAAATCCGAAACCGGATGCGGCCAAACATATATGTCCGTAAAAACATATGTATATGTGTAATTCTCTTGGAATATATATGTATAATGGTGTACCTACCCATAGAGATATGCCAGTAGAGGCCCTATGCTTAAAGGGATGTGGCATACATGTGTTTCCTTCACCATAGTTGGTGAAAAGCCGTCTATACCTAACATAGGTAGTTTTAAGGTTAATAAATGGTCGTATAGGTAATACTTATTGTCCATGGTGCAAGGGTTTGGTATGGTTCCGTCCACGTAACATACGGTGCTTGTGGAGATATTGTTTAACTTTTATCCGTTGAAATAAATTATTTGGATAACGTAATGGAGGTTTCAACTAAGTCCGTTTTGCTTGCTGAGTAACTTACTTCACATGCGATTTAAAGGTTAATGTATATCGGCATAGCGGAAAGCCTGGACATATACAAGTAAGCTTACAATTTCACTTTTATTGACAGCCTGTTTGGCATGCGCTGCATATGCAGGTTGATAACGTTGCTGCACGTCTATGCAGCGATAACTCATCGAACCTGGCTCCAAGGGTCTGTCGATTTTGGCTGTGGTGTTCTGTGTGTATGCCTTTTTGTCCTTCATAAGGTTGTACGACGCTTGCATATACAAAGCCTTGCAATAGCTGTGGTTCAGCAAATGGCCTTATGGTTGTTACCTCGAAACCCTCACGATAGTGCTCTTATTTGTATAGCTATTCTCCTTTTTTACGTAAACCGTTGTCCCAATTACCTTCCACCGTGTCATATATCCTCGTATTTCACACCGCGTTGGCGTTGCGTGCTTGGAACGACGCGTGGGTGTATTATAAACCACGCACAGGAGCAGAAAATGTGTTATTCACCTGCACTTGCATAGAGCGGTCGGTTAGGAAGTCGGAGTTCCAAGACAGAAGGTTCCCAGAGATGCCGATTCCTTGGAGCTTAAACAGGAGCCGTTCATGCGGCTTTGTCAAAAGCTTTGCTGACGTCAACAAATACCACTTTCAAGCGTTTGCCGTAGTCTATCGACCTTACCCAGGTCTCCTTAGCAACGAGTAAGTTCGAGGTAAAGGAGCGTGCTTTTCGGAAGCCATGCTGGGCATAAGAGAGGAAATTCAGTCCCCCAAAATGAAGGGTAACAGCTTGTTTTAGGATACGTTCCATAATTTTACACACTATTGACGTCAAACAGATTGGACGATAATTGGCCGGATCATATCGAGTTCCACTATGTAAATGGGTTTGACGATACCCACTTCCCAAGCTGAAGGAAGAAGACCAGCTTCCAGTGAGCGACGAAATACTGGACAACTGGGTGAAGCTATGTACTCCGTCACAGTACTGTGGAACAAAGGATGCAATCCATCAGGGCCGGGTGAGCTATACGGATCTATCTGGCGAAGTTGCATCACAGAATCAGTGTTAATATCTACTCGGGCCAACGAAGATTGAAGGGTGGATACGGCACTGTCACTAAGTGGGGTTTCACTCGCGTAAACAAAAGCGTATTGCTTAGCCAAGTGACTAGCTTTCTCAGCGTCCTCGTGAAGTAAAGCTTGATTATCACAGGAACACAAGGCAGGGATGCCATTACCAGCTCTAGTGCTTCGTTTCAAATAAGTGTAGAGTATTTTAGGCGCTGTTCGGGAATGTTTTGCCAAGGATAGTTCGTATGCTTGGCGTTTTTGGCGCTTCATCGCGACACAAACCTTGATTACAGCCTTGTAGTGAGAGAAGCCGAGTTCTGAATGCGATTGCCTAAAGCGGTCCCATAATTTGCGCCTTCTATTCATAGTTGACCTCGAGTCTCGATCCATCCAAGGTGGACATCAAGCGAAGGGCTTTTGATGGGAGGAAAGAAAGATCTGCTAAATTAACGACGTCATTTTGGAGAGTACAAGATTCTACGCGTCGTCGAGGTGAATGTGTTCAGGGATACCCCAATCCGTAGCGCTTGTGGCCGTTTTCAGACGGAGTGGGTCGGCTCGCCAAAATTTCCGACGGTGACCACCGTGGCTATGGATCGTTAGACGGCGAGTCCAGTGGACTGGAACCACACAATGGTCGCTGTTGTCTATGGGTTGAAGAACGGTTAGGTTCGTGACATCCAAATCTGCCGGGGAGAGCACGAAGTCTGGGGTGTGCGGGTTCTGGCCTGCGAAAATACGAGTAAGCCTCAAGACATGTTGAACAAGGCTGCAGTCGAGAGCGGTTTTAAGCAATATGGCCTTGAAGGAGTGAGATAGGCGATCACAAAGACGTAGGTCCCAATCGATATCTGGTGCATCGACCTCCCCAAGATTAGACAGTCTTTGTGCGCAGCATACATCCTTATCGAGCACAACAAGCGCGCTCCGGGATCCGATGGTGTCCTGTAGACGCCGCCGACCAAGAGAGGTTTGCATCCGTCATGAACACGACACCAGCGGGCTTCGAAATTGTCATCCTAAACGCTGCTAGCTTTAACTAAATGTATTTTGAGATCTGTCGTGCAGTAGAGAATTACTCTACCACCTGACCTCACTCCGTGGCCTCCGGACCGGAAGTGGTGATATCCAAAGATAGACACTCCCGAGTCCGTGACATCTGATAATAGCCAAGTTTCGGTGAAGGCCATCAGGTCTGAACGAGCCTCCGAAGTAAGCAACTGAATTTCATCTAGTTTATTCCTTAGACTGCGTACATTGGCAGGTGGCACGCGTAGTCAGTTTTTATGCTCTACTATCTGGGGGTGACAAGAATCGGCCTCCGGCGCATTCTTGTGCTCTTCCGAACTACGCAAAATCCGCGATATGTAGGTCGGTTTCAATACCCGCCCGGCGCGTTCGGAGCTCCTCTACAGTCTTCTTCATTTTAATTCGGTCCTCGGGATAGAGGACTCTTAACACGTAGAAAGATTCATCTTGGAAACTTGGAGTCCGTCGAAGGATGCTCGCGCACTCTTCTTCGTTTCCGCATAAAATCTTGAGGAGTAGAACCTTTGAGGAATTTTCCACCTCCTTACCGAGACGGAAGGCAGAGACAAGGTTTATTCCCTGTTCGCCTACAGCAAACAGTAGAGAAACCATCCACTCGAGCAGTATTTGATCATCCAACATTCGCTCCGCCGAGGTAGTCTTGTCCGATGCCGCAGCGTTCCCGATGATGAGACAACGGTCACGAGATGGCTGGATGCGCTCTGGGATTAGTGGCTTATGGGATGATGGATTTTCATTTATCACTTTTTCAGCTCCGGAATTCTGTTGAGGAGTACCTTCATTTGTGACTGAGAAGACGGAAGCTCAGGTTTATTCCGACTTAGTCGTAGTCTTGGTGACACATGTGGCTGGATCTTGGACACACGAGGCCAAGGTCGTTTTCTCCTTCACTACGACAGCTTGTGACTTCGTCGTAGGCTCAACAGACCGGAGGTGCGTCAATGGGCCCGAATGAGAAGTAAACGGGGCCTGAGTGGCTTCGACTTTTGGAGCGTCGCTGGAAGCGATGTTGCTCCGCTTTCTGGCGCGCCTAGCAGAAGGAGCTGAAGAACGTCTTTCAGGACGTTGATATGGCGGACGTCATGCCAACGCAGCAGCCTCGACACAATATCGACAAATCCATGACAAAGCCATGTGCTCAGCATAGGTCTTGAAGAGCGGTTCAGTAAGTTGCGAGCAACGCTTTAGGCCACATGCCCAGAGTTTGCAGGAAATGAACTAGACACCCTTTCGCACAGTGCAAACATTGTGAGTTACACATAATCACTGATCTCAGAGAAAAGTTGACGATGGTTAAAGTTTGTCAAGAGGGTTTCGTCAAACGCTGGGCTTCGCGATATTTCACCTAAAAGCTCGATCAGTATAGCACGCCAAAAAATCGAGTTACCGCGTAACACTCGACGCTGGACGTTTCCACACTCCGACAGATCTGGACTAAGTGCATTCCGGAAAACACCACCACGATTAAGGCAGTCCTCGCTGATGAACTCCAGTTGGACAACCTAGCCGAAGCGGGCGACAAAGTGCATGAACGGTTCTGTAAATCTCCAGTGAGTAATGTGACAACAATCACGACATCTGTGAAATGAATGATCGACCTTCCAATATATATAACCTAGCGTTACCCCACTGTACCATCAAGTGTCGAATGTAGGCACCAAAATCGCACATACCGGTACGGAAAGCATTCAACATCCTTCTCTCCAATTTGCTTCACTTGTTGCTTCGAAGTTAACGTACGATATTTGAAAAAATAGGGGCAGTGGCAAAGTGGAAGTTGCGAACAGCTTCTTCCATTTCCTCCCAGCTTCTATAGCCATCGCAGACCCTAAGGCAAAAGACAGCGGTGTCGTCCAACCTGGCGCACCGTAACCAATTAGGTATCCTACAGTTAACTTCGCTTAAAACAGCGTGAGATCCACTAACAATAAATTTTAGAAAATACCATTTCTTGTAGGTACTTAAACACTAGCGAAACACATATACATCTCTTTCACATCCAGTTATGAAAAAAAACAATTTCGCCCGCCGTAGCGGAACACAAAGCCCAGCCAGGCCAATTTTTTCGTGCGAATATTAGCAACCCCATTCTTGATCATGCGGTGATTATACGCGGTCGTTCTGCGCTCTACGCCCTTTTTCTTTTCTACTAGCAGCATCACCGATGTCGTTTACTGTAACTAGGACAGTAAGGAACAAATCAAGTCAACATGGCCCGTGTGCGTACTACACGGAAACACGATTTCTTGGCGTGCCATACTGATCGAGCTCTTTGGCTGAAATAACGTGGAAAACAATGTTTGCATAAGCACTTGAAACGAAATTTGACTATTGTCCAATTTTCTCTG